ATCACAAAATGGGATGCTACATGAGTGATTATCAGCTCCAAGGGCCATCCTTCCAAACTTGAAAATTCAATTTCCGATAAACTGAGGTGACCAAGTGTTCTGTGCTACCAGAGGAATAAAAACAAGAGCCAAATCTCAGAGATTCGGCTTTCTTATCTTTAAAAGGAAGGAGTTAAAGTCCTAGAGGTCAAGAAACACCTTGAATCACCCCCTGATTAAGCACAGGCCTCAAAGTGAAGTCCAGGTTTCCTGACTCCTGGCCTCGGCGAGGACCGCCTTCCTCACCTGCACAGGCATCGTGACCCCTTGTCAAGTCTGGCAGAATGAACCAATGCCTGGCGGTCTACACTAAGGGACAGGCTCGGCTGCATGCCTCACAAGATCCACCTTCAGGAATGTCTAAAGGTACCACTTCATAATGCTTATTTGGAAAACATTCATACTGATTGCTCAATGGCCCCTGCTAACTAAACACTGGCTCCCGCCTCTCATTATTACTCTGGGTGAGGCCTGCAGTCCCTGCGGTGGGGCCTCGGGGCACAGCTCAGCCTCTGGGAAGACCTTCCCCGCCCCCATGACAAAGCCTGGGATGGAATGGGCAGGGGCTGTGAAGGCTGCATTAATACTGGCTTTATTAACACTACAGCAAGTCTGCTATAGTCCAAGGAATAGGACTTCCGGCATAAAAAATACTATAAAACACAACAAAACAATGTAAAAATCAGTAAATCCCTCATGATTCTTCCTCAGGAAGTATCTCTAAAATTGTTTTATCCAAGGTTTTCCTTGAATGTATTAGTCCTTGGTATAAATAAGAAAGAATAAGATCATTATTGGCATTGCTTCACCACCTGCTGCACTTAATTCCATTTAAAATGCATCATGGCCGTCTATGGTTTACATGCAATTTTACCTCATTTATTAACAGTGCGTGGTGAATCAAATAAACGTAAGTTAGTAACTTCTCTATAGAGGTCACATGCTTCTTGTGTGTGATTTTACAAACACTTTTGAAAAAAATAACCTCTCCTCACTAGAGCCAGTAGCTCTTACAGGACGGGTTCCTAGAAATACAATTATATGATTAGTCGGGGTGTAGGGATAGTCACTGCAGAGGCATAATTACCCTCCCAATGAGCTCAACTATTTACACCCTGCAACATCTGACTGTACGTGTCCCCCTCACCTTTGGGAACTAAAATAGTCTTGTTAGTTTCTTCCAGTTTGTAGGGGAAACAGGATTTCAATGTCAATTCTCTGATCATCAGCAAAACTTAAATCTTGCTTTGCTTCTTGGCCATTCGAATTTCTTGACCACGAAGACTGACCTGTTCATCTCTTTTTTACTAGGGTGTTTCAGCACATGTGTAGGACAAAAACAAAATCGACAGCTGGGCTACACAGGACTAGCAAAGAATAAAAGAATCACAAATTTAAGTGAAATTCATGTTGTAAGCTAAAAATAACACACCCAGTGGGTACTCAGAGAAGTGAGGAGAAAATACTATTAAAAAGGACGTTTTGTTTTGTTTTGTCCCTTTCACAGCCCGGGTCAAAGGCTGTGTTTTTTGCCGCTGGAAAGGGAAACAGAATCTTTGGACTGGGGACACTCATTACAGTGCAGGGTGAGATATCATTCTGGAGAAAGAGGAGGAAGTCCGTCCATGGTAACTGCTAAGATTATAGTCTTCTCCTTCACTTAGCCCGCTGGACAAAGGCAAGAGGCAGGAAGATATTTTTGTGCAGAAGCTCAAGAGACAGTAAGACGGTGACAGGGTGTCTTAGGAAATGGCCCAAGCAGGTATCTCTGCAGTGAACACCACAGCTGACAAGTCCCAACTACTGACATTTGAGCAGGTGGGAAAATATCACCAGATAGTACAGAAAAGCCCTGAAACGAAAGCCAAAAATCCCAAACAAACATAAAGTAGCCTGAAGCAAACTGTGACTTCAGAGAAAGAAAACCCCCCAAACTTAGGAACGTCCTCAGAGATAAGGGGAGGTACAACAAGCTATGAACCAAAACCAAACCAGGATGGGAGAAGACTGGAACAGAGGGGGCAGGAGGACAGTCTCAGGGACATGCATGGAGCACAGCTCAACAATACGGCCCACATAAAGTTGAGAACGTCTTCCAGAAAGTGGACAACCTAAGCAAAATCAGTGTCCATCCAGAAGGCCCAACAGTTGAGTTCCACAAAAAGAAGGTGAATGGGAAGAAATCAAAGCAATAAATTAAAAACGTCTAGTGCTGAAGAACGGGACTTTCCACATAAGAGGGGCCTAAAAAGTAGGCAGGACACTACATGGAAACAGACTCCGAGGGACATCACTGCGCTGCGTGTTGTGCATTTCAGGGAGAAAAATCCTTTAAGCTTCAGAAAAGAAATATCCATGTATAGAGGCCAAAAAATCAGAATGTCAGAAGCCTTTAACAATAACCCTCAAGACAGAAGTCAGAGCAAAATGGTGTCTCTCACCCAGACACATGGGGAGAAATAAAGCACTTTCGATATTCTTGTTCTCAAAACTTTATCTCCCCTTCATCTGCCCCCGGGCAACACCTTAAGGAAGCGTTCCACCACAATGAGGGTAGCCAAGTCCAGAGAAAGGGACACTGGTGTGTCCTGGAGACCAAGGACCCTATGAAGGGGTCGGGGTTGGGGACCTGCAAGAAGAATACAGCAGGTGGGAGCCTGGAAGATATATATTCAAGAAGAGATTAATAAAATACTGAATTTCATCAGACAAAAAAAGGACTCCGTTTCTTGAAAGTTGATTGGGACAACTGGTCAATTTGGGACCGTAATGATAAATACACAGAAAGAGCAAACAGAAAACAAGACTCACAAGAACATCAGGAGAAACGAAATCTGATGACGTGGAAAAGGGAAAGTAATCCCAGCACACCATCTGCCCAGCTGTGAATGGCCCCATGGAGTCAGAACATGAACACTCAATCCTGGACTAAGCAAGGTAAAGGTGCACGGGCTTCAGGCGGCCGTGTGCGCACGCAGGGAAGGTAAAAGGAAGCTACAGACGTCACATTCCTTCTCAGGGTTAAGTGAGGAGACCAGGCGTGCAACAAGAGGAAAGCCATGAACCAGCAGGCGAGCGCATGGGCCGCTCAGAGTTGGAGGCAGAGACTAAAGGAGCCCACCAAGAGGGGGACGTGTCTGCTCTGCAGGAGAATTGACAGGACTGGGGAAGGCAATTCAGGGTCTCCTTGAAAGCCTTCCTACATTTAGTATTCCTTTAAAAAAACTACTTGAAGATACAACCTTGACTTGAAATAAAATTAAGTTTCAATTTTAAAATTCACATGAATGCCAATAAAATGTATTAAGGAAGAGCACACGTGGTCAACGTACTGTTATGAAATTAACTGCAGCCATCAAGATGACACGTCTGGAACATCACGTCTGGCTCGTCTCTAGCAGTATTTAAGGAACGTTAGCATGCCTGGTCAAACAGCCCACTAGGGATGCCACTTGTTAAAGGTCTGGTTTTAGAAACACACACACACACACAAGAGAACTTAGGCACAGAATAACTCGTGTACGCAATTTCTTAAATGTCATAGAGATGAAGACAGTTTGATTTTCTTGGTTTGCAAAGGTCGAACCTTGTGGAGCTTTTATAACTAAAAGGAAAAGGCACTGTGACACGCCGATGCTCTCTGGGTTTCCACTTGGTCAAAACCTTTTCAATATGCGTGCTGGACCTCTTGCCAGCAGCTTGGCAACTAAACTCAGTTGTGCGCGGTTTCTTCCAGGAGCTTAGTTATTTCCTCTTAATAAGAAAGGGGAAAGCTTCCTCTGAGCGCGGGCCCTGGGGGGTGGATGGATGTAGGCTGAATGGACCGCACCCGACAGAAGCACCATCCGGGACTCCAGGGAGTGTGTTCTCTGCTCACGCCACCCTGGCAAATGGGCCAGTTTCGGTCGGGAGGCATGAACGCAGAACCTAAGGCGTCCAGCCGCGAGTGGCGCGGGTAAGTCATCCCGGTGGACGCTGCAATCCCGGGAGGGCCTGCCCCAGCCGGACCGTCCTGGAGGACAGAGAGGGCGCGAAGGCCTGCAGGACCGGACCGTCGGACACTCGGAGCCGAGCCAGCCGCTCGACCTCCCGCCCGTCGTCGTGTCCCTTGGCCGAAGCTCGTCTTCCCGATCACAACACCCCGTTCTGGTAAGACTCCTCCAAATCCAGCCCGAGAACCACGGTCGGTGTGGAACAGCGGCGCCGCCTCCTTCCTACCTCCGTCCCTGCTCCGCGGCCCGCGCATCCCCACGGGCGAACCCGCACGCTAGGCCACGAGCTGCTTCGGGAAGAGAAAGACCAGGGTGCGTCCTCCGCCCTCTGCGCCCTGGGGCCGAGCGCGGCGCGCAGGCTTCTGAACCCAGGTCGGGCCGTCGGGAGCCTCGGGCGGCCGGGGTCGCGGGGGGCAGCGGGGGCAGCGGGGGCACCGGGAGGCCGTGCCCCCCCCCCGCCCCGCCCCGCGCGCCGTCTGCGGGGCCAAGGACGCGGGCGCACGCGGGCGAGGGGCCGCGCTCCCGGCCACGACCTGCGGGTGCGAGCTCGCCGAGGTCCGGGGGCGGGGAAGGGGGCGCACCCCGGGCCCGCCCCACCCCCCGGCCCAGGCCGGAGCCCGGGTCCCCGGGGACGGCCGCCGCGCTCTCCGGTTCGCGCACAGGCCCCGGCCCACGTGACCCGCGGCGGCCAATGGGGGCGAAGCCCCCCGCACCAGCGAGACGCGGGCGGCCCGGGGCTAGAGCGGCCCGCCCGGCCGCCCGCCGCAGCCCCCGGCCCCGCTCCGGCGCTGCCCGCTCGGCGCTGCCGCCATCTTCCCGGAGGAGAGCGCGGAGGCGGACGCGGAGGCTCCCGGCCGCGGCCGCGCCGCCCCCCCGCCGCCCCTCTTCCCCTCGGCGGCCCCCCGGCTCGCGCTAAGCAAACGCCCTCCCTCCCACGCCGCGCACCCGCGAGGCCAGGACCCGCGCTACCTGTTCCGCTCCGGTCCGCGCAAGGAAGCCGAGCTCATAAGGTGGGCGCCGTGGCGGAGCAGGGACGGGCCGCCATCTTGGTAAAGGAGAAGAGGCTCCGCTTGACCTCCCCCCGCCCCCAGCCTCTATATGGCCAACCGCCGTGGGAGGGGCGCGGCGCCTGCGCAGAGGCGGCCAGCGCGGACGGGCCTGCGCTCTCGGACGCGGCGGGCGGGGGCGGGGAGGAGGCCGGGTCGCGCCGGGGCAGGGAGCGCGGGCGAGGGGGCGGGCCGACGTGGTGACGCCGCGCGCGCGGGGCGGGGCGGGCCGACGTGATGACGCCGCGCGCGCGGGGCGGGGCGGGGCGGGCGGCGGGCTCTGGGCGGTCCGCGGCGCGGTCGGTGGGCGCCTGCTTCTCCGCTCGTCTCGTCGGCGGTGAGTGGCTCGCCGGGGCCCCGCCGTCGCGGGGGGGGGGGGGCGGTGCGGGCTGTAGGCGGGCGCGGCGGCGGCGGCGGGCGGCGGGCTCCGGGGGCGCGGGCGGCGGCCCGCTGGGTGTGGGGGAGGGGCGCAGGCCCGGGCTCTCCTCCGCCCCGGGGCCCCTCCTCCGCTGCGGGGTCCTTCCTCCGCCCCGGGGGCTCGCTCTCCTGCGCCTCGGGCCCCTCCTCCGCCCCGGGGGCCCCTGGTCCGCCCGGGATCCTAGTCCGCTCCAGGCCCCTCCTCCGCCCCGGGGTCCCCCCCCCCCGCCCGGGGCCTCTCCTCCCCGCATCCTAGTCAGCCCCGGCCCCTCCTCCGCCCCGGGGTCCTCGGCGCTCGCGGCAGGACGTGGCCGGAAGAGCCCGGCGCGGACGGCCTGGGCGGCGGGGGAGGGGAACCGGGCGGGGCCTGCGGGGTCTGGTCCCGGTTGCGGCCTCGCCCCGCGCGCCCCGCCCCGCCCCGCCCCGCGCTGCTCTGGGGCTGGGGTCCGGCCCTGCCCCGGGCGCACCGGGCACGTGCCCCGCGCCGGGACGAGCTGCTCCGACGCGGCCGTGCGGGGCCCCCGGGAGGTGCGGCCGCGGCCCCGGCGGGCCGTGTGTGGCCGCTCCCCGCAGGCCGCCTGTCGCTCCCGGGGCCCGGCTCGGCCCGGACGCAGGCCGGGAGCACTCGGCCGCCCAGGGGGTCCTCACGCTTTTTCCCTTTTGCAGCCTGGCCTGCCCCCTGGCACAGCAGCCCGGGTGACGAACGGGGCTGCCCGGTCAGGTGAGATGCGCGCGGACTGCTTTGGAGCTGGCAGGCGACCCAGGGAAGCGGGGGCGCGGCTGCCCTCGTGGTGGCCCCTGAGTGCGATTCAGGCCCGTTTCTAGACCGACGCCGAAGACCCAAGCTAAGGGAAGGGCGCAGCGGAGCTCACCTGCCTTCCTGCCGCAGCGTTGGGTCGAAGGCCTTTTGCCTTCTGTGTTTACACCACGCGGTGCTGGTGGTCGCACGTGGACTTGGCGGTCTATGCGACGCGCTGCCCCGGTAGCCGCTGAGCTCACGCTGTGTAGGGGTCGCGCCTTCCTCGGATCCAGAGAATCTGAAGGTCGAGTGTCTCGAGAGCTTTGGATTAGGGATAACGGACTCTCGGGGTCCTCTACAGCAGCGTCGTTGCGTGGGTTGGGGCCATGTGTGTAGATGCAGGAGTAACATGACCGAGATTGGTAGTTACGGCAGTCCGCTGGTGGAAACACCACTAGCCAAATACACTTGAACGTATTGCCAAGAATCTAGTTTTATGCATCTGTTTTTCATCTTTTGTTTTGGAAAAGATGCCTTGTTCTGTGTGAATTGGGATGGGAGTATTGCCCCGTGGAAGAAGGAAGCCGTGCTCAGGAGAAGACGGACGTCTAAATTGCTAGCGTCTGGAATGAGCACAACCTGAAAGAATGAAGTTTTTGTTTGACCGCATTGAGTGTGGGGGATCCACATGGTCTGCAGTCATGGTGTGAATCACAGGGCTTGGCATCCCGTGTTGCAGGCTTTCTTGGTGAAAACCAGGTGCTTCAAAAGTTGCGTGGTTTGGTCCTCCTTCAGCTTCATTTTACATTAATTAGCTAGTAGCTTATGTTGTTAGAAAGTCATAGTGGATCCAAATTATATTTCAGGAAAAAAGCTGAATATGAAAGAAATAGGATATGGCAAGAAAAGCTTGCTAAATTAGAATAATTCATAGCCTGTTCCAATAATGGTATTCTCCATTTCCCCCTACGTGTGTATCCAGTAGGTCTTCCTGCTTTCCTTTCAGCGGGAAACTGATAGGGAGCAGTGAAAGTTCCCTTTCTCTCCTGTAAAACAACCCAGTCCTGCTGAACAGGATGAGGTGAACACAGGTGGGCTCGAGGTATGGCGTTCTCAGGGTGCTCAAAAGAAGTTGATCAGAACCTAGGCAGAGGCCCAGGGTTCAGTGAGGGGAAGCAAGTCTGGAATTCAGGAGAGACCTGCAGGATAGTCCTGAGTCCTCTTGGGTTTGTTTGAAATAAGATACGTGTGATAGCTTGTAAGGCAAGTGCCCATTTATTTATTTATTTATTCATTCATTCCCACTCTTTTTCCATCCTTAGGCATTTATTCTTCATGTAAACTTGAAGGTCACTTTATCCAGTCCTTTTAGAAAAAACTCGTATTAGGATTCCACCTGGGGTTGGACCACATTATATACTAATTTGGGAGAAATGAAAATGATTTGGTTCAACTAGGCTCTGCTTTTTTCTGAATTTGTTCTTACGTGTTTGGTTGTTTTTTGTTTTAATTCTGTTGTAGAACGCATTTTATCCTTATTTCTATTCCTTTATATTACTAGTACAGAAGGGAATTATTTTGCATCTGGCTTTTATCCAGCCATCTTACTAAACTACCTTATTCTAGAATTTTTTTTTAAAGATTTATTTATTTATTTATTTATTTATTTATTTATTTATTTGAATGGGGGTGGGGAGGGGCAGAGAGAGAGAATCTTGAGCAGACTCCCTGCTGAGCACAGAGCCAGACTTGGGGCTCATTCCTAGGACCCCAAGATCCATGACCTGAGCCAAAACCAAGAATTGGATATTCAACTGACTTAGCCACCCAGGCACCCCTAGAATTCTTTTTAACTGAACTATTTGTGTTTTCTGTGTATTCAGTCTTATCAACGAAAAAAACTTGTTTTTTTCATTTTGCTATTTCACTGAATTTCAATAGTGAGGTTGCAGTATGAAGATCTTGTTTGGTTCTTTATTCAAATGAACAACCCAAAAAATGAGACCATCCAAGAATAAGTGTTTTTTTTTTTTTTTAGAGATTTTATTTATTTGAGATAGGGCATGAATGTGGCACATAAGCAGGGAACAGCAGAGGAAGAGGGAGAAGCAGGGGCTCCATCCCAGGACCCTGGGATCATGACCTGGGTTGAAGCCAGACACTTAACCCGCTGAGCCGCCCAGGCGCCCCCAGAATAAGTGTTTTAAAATAATTACAGTGGTAATGGACATCCATGCCTAATTAATAATTAGAATTTAAATAGGTTTAGTATTCCATTGTTGAGAAAATAACATTTGCCATTGGTGTTCGGTGTCAATTAGATATAAGCAGTTTCCTTAATGTTTTCATTAGAGGTGGTTGCTAAATTTTATCATAGGTCTCTTCAGCATCAATTCCTATAGGATTATCTCCTTTAATTTTTTTGTAATGGCTTCATATAGGTGGATGCTTTTAGTATATTTATGGAACCTAATTGCTGAAAATATTTCATTGAGAGTGTTTGCGTTTATATTCATGAGTGAGATTTGACATAGCGCTACCTAACCAGGTTTCTTAGGTCTCTGGCTGGGTTTGTTGTTAAAGTTGTAGTGTCCTCATAGAATTGGGGTGCTTTCTCTTGTTTTATACTGGTTTAAGTGTTACTCGTTCTGGGTTGGATGGAACACAGCTCTAATTCCGTCTGGTCTGGGGCCCATCTTCATTGGTAGATTTTATTCAGCTGTTCGGTAGTATTTGTTCTGGTCAATGTTTTCAGTTCTTGTTCCATTTTGGTAATTTACAGTGTCTGGGAAGTCATCCATTTCTTCCAGATTTTCAAATCTCTGGCCATCTTGATATGTGGAGTCTCCTGAGTCTGTGATTATACCTTCTTTTCTATAGTTGCTTTTTTTTTTTTCCCTTAGTGGGATTTGTGAGGAATTTATTTCAGAGAAGTAGTTTTTAAATCCATTTATCCTTCTATTGAGTTAACTTTGTCAATTTGAGAACCAAATTTCTTTATTTTCAGTATTCTTTAATGAAAATAATTAAAACTCAAATTCTTATCAGTCTATGAAGCTTTTACTGTGTTCCATCACTTTCTAGATAGCTTGTGGTTTTGCTTTTGTTACTCTCATTGCTCCAAGGGATATCCAAGAGTGTTCCAAATAATTGGGAATTGTATTTTTTTTTCTCCTAGTTTTAACAGATCACAAGTTGAAAACATCAATTGTAAAAATATATTTTAAGATTTACTTAAAGTTTTTATAGTAATTACATGATTTTTTTTCTTTAACTGCTTCTCTTTATGCTATTAACTCAAGATTCTCTGTGTCTGTAGATTCTAATTTATTGGTTGTATTACTCAATCCTCTGCTTGCTCATATTCTGTTTACTGAATTTGTAATTCTGAGGGATGCTAGTAAAGTCTTACACTTGTATTTTTATCAAGTTCACCTGGCATTTTTTCTAGTCTTTGCTCTATGTTATTTATCTGCTGTAATGATTTGTATATGCAAATTTGGGAATGTTGTATCTTCCCTATAAATCGTTCTTTTTATCAGGATCACATTTTTACCTTAAATCTCACCTGGGCTGATGTTATTTTCCGTCCTACTTTCTTTGTGTTTGGCCAGCCTGGTGTCTTTTAGGCTGTCCCTTTGTTTTCAAAACTTTTGTTACTTTGTTTTAAGTATATCCTTGCACTTAATGATTCATTTTATTATTTTTTTCTCTTGTTTCCATGATTTTGCTGACTTCATCAAGTTGCTATTCTGTATCTTTCTCTTAATTTGGAAGTTCCGCTGTCATTTTTTTTTTTTTTTAATGGTTACCTATTTTGTAGTCACACTGAATCTCTATTTAAAAAAGGTCGTTTGCTCTTCCTTCTGTCAGAACCATCTGTGTTCCATCTGACCCTCACCTCACCCTTTGGAGTGTTT